GAACTATTGTTGGTCATGGAAGTTGGACTCTGACCTTGGTAGAAGCTCGTCATTACTTTCAACCTACGGCTAGGTTTGTTACTTACTCAGTACATGGGGTCGGTTGTACTGATACTATACTTCTGCACATTACGTGCAGATGTTGGTTGTTATTGTTGCTGTGCTCGATGGTTGCGGGACTTGAAGATGTACATGCGTTTCTGTTGTAGCTGCCACTTCTTCAGGGTAGCCTTAGATTCATAAAATCTCTGTTTATGTATTATTCAAACAGACTATGTATTTATTTCATTTCCGCTTTGTATACTCTATTCTTAGAAGCCCATGATTTGTACTACCAGTTCTTGGGAAATGTATAAGATTAAGATGTTTATTCACTTAAATTACTTTAATAATTGTTATTGGAAATGGATAATTGAAAGTTGGCTTACCTAACAGGTTGGGTTAGGTGCCATCACAACTAGTTGAATTTTGGGTCGTGACATATTTCTGATTATAAATCTCACAATTATAATTCTGAAATATCTCGATTTTGAACCAAGCGATTCCTTAGTACACGAAAGAGTGAAGTGGCCAAAATATGTACTATTATACTCCCTCCGTTTTAATTTATATGAACCTATTTCTATTTTAGTCTGCGCCAAAAAGAATGACTACTTTCTATATTTGGATACAATTTACCTTTATGCAATGATTTATAGCTACAGAAAATAAATGTGCCTCATCTTACACCAAAAGTTCAAAAGTTTCTCTCTTTTCTTAAACTCTGTGCCCAATCAAATGGGTTTACATAAATTGAAACAGATGGAGTATTTGTTTTGAAGCAAACTGGGGCACATGAAGGACTTAGTGCCGGCTCTAGGGGGACGCCACAAAAGCAATTGCTTTAGGCCCCGTAGAATTGAGGGCCCCAAAAATTTTAAATTGTATACTACGTATTACATATTACAAAATTATTAATAAAAGATACTAGCTAGATTTTATACTTTTTTGTTTGGGATGTGATAGAGGTTATTCAAATGAATAACTTGAGTTAATGAATATGTAATATATGAAAATAAATAATTTGATGACGACTTTGATAATTAAAGAACGAATTCTTTTATAGTATCTTTTAGAGTTAATTATTTCTTATAAAGAATGGATTAGGCATTTGTTTTTTCGAAATAGACTTGAACTATTTTAAATATATGAAATTATATTGGCCTCTATCTAGTGGTATAAAATTAAGATTATTAGATTACAAGAATTTATAAAATATTATCTTAATCGTCATTATATGTTTCTTATAAAATATTATGTTAGTCTTAGTGAGTAGAATTACCAAATATTTACAATGGAAATAAATAAATGATCAATTTACGTACAAGATGATGGGTATACCATTTGTTTGCAATAATTTTTTGTAGAAAAATAAAACTGCAATCACAAACAACAATAAAGAAAAAAAGAATTTTATTGATAAACATTGCGGGTTACAACTCTATTTATCCCTTGATTCTTGCCTCTGATTTATTCTACGTGATTCGAGGGCCTTAGCAGTGTATTTCTCGAACGTAGGACTTTGAGCAAGACATATTTGACATGTCTTTGGTTTCTTAATGAATATTCCAAGAGTTTCATGGAAGTTCGAAGATCTCTTATTTGATCTCTTTGTGCATATTCTGAGAGTTTATAGAATTACTGAGATCGTCTTTGAAGGACATATGTAGGCTTATTTATAGGCATGAATTAGGGTTTGGGTGGAGTGGCCACCAAGTAACCCTAATAGACTCCTAATATTTCAAAGTCGTCTTAAATTTATGATTTATCTTGACCTGTTAAAATTTCAACATCTACAAATGCCCCCCTACTTCAAGGTTTGTCGAAGTTAGGCTTGCTAAAACTTGAAGACGAGATTTGAAGTACCCGAACATCACAACAGATAATCTTGAAACTTGTAATTTTCGATTTGCAGGAGGAAGAGATGAAGGGCAGAACTTGTCACACTGTGCGTGCCAATTTATTTGCAATAATTTTTTATAGAAAAATAAAACTGCAATCACAAACAAAAATAATGAAAAAAAGATTTTATTGATAAACATTGCGGGTTACAACTCTGTTTATCCCTTGATTCTTCCCTCCGATTTATTTTACGTGATTCGAGGGACTTAGTAGCGTATTTCTCGAACGTAGGACTTAGTTGAACAAGACATATTTGACATGTCCTTAGTCTCTTAATGAATATTCCAAGAGTTTCATGAAATTTCGGAGATCGCTTATTTGATCTCTTTGTGCATATTCCGAGAATTTATTGAATTGCTGAGATCGTCTTTGAAGGACATATGTAGCCTTATTTATAGACATGAATTAGGGTTTGGGTGTAGTAACCACCAAGTAACCCTAATAGCTTCTTAATATTTCAAGAGTCGTCTTGAGTTTAGGATTTATCTTGACCTGTTAAAATTTCAGTGTCTACAAATACCCCATGCTTCAAGGTTTGTCGAAGTGTAGGCTTGATGAAACTTGAAGACGAGACTTGAAATACTCGAACATCACAACAGATAATCTTGAAACTTGTAGTTTTCGATGTGGAGGAGGAAGAGATGAAGGGCAGAACTGGTCCCACTGGGAGTGCCAATTTGTTTACAATAAATTTTTGTAGAAAAATAAAACTGCATTCACATACAACAATAAAGAAAAAAGGATTTTATTGATAAATATTGCGGGTTACAACTCTGTTTATCCCTTGATTCTTCCCTCCGATTTGTTCTACGTGATTCGAGGGCCTTAGCAGCGTATTTCTCGAACGTAGGACTTAGTTAAACAAGACATATTTGACATGTCCTTGGTCTCTTAATGAATATTCCAAGAGTTTCATGGAATTTCGGAGATCTCTTATTTGATCTCTTTGTGCATATTCCGAGAATTTATGAAATTGCTGAGATCGTCTTTGAAGGACATATGCAACCTTATTTATAGGCATGAATTAAGGTTTGGGTGGAGTAGCCACCAAATAACCTTAATAGACTCCTAATATTTGAAGAGTCGTATTGAATTTAGATTTATCTTGACATGTTAAAATTTCAGTGTCTACACCATCATTACAAAAAATAAAAATAAAATAATATATTAAATTTTACTCCTTCTGTTTCAATTTATGTGAACCTATTTTCTTTTTAGTCCGTGCCAAAAAGAATGACCTAATTCCCTATTTGAAAACAATTCACCTTTATGCAATGATTTATAGCCACACAAAATATATGTGTCTCATTTTACACCACATATTTAAAAGTTCTCTCTTTTTTTAAATTACATACCCAGTTAAATGAGTTCAAATAAATTAAAATTGAGGGAGTATTATATAAATTTAGGACCTTTAATTGAGGTTTTACTTTAGACCACCGATTTCATTGAGCGGCGCCATAAGAGACTTGCTCCAATTATACGATTGCAACGTGCAAAAGATACACAATATAAGAAAATGCCTACTTGTAGATCAACTTTTATCCAGCGACGTGGTCACTACATGAAGAAGATTTATTGTTCTTTTTTGTTTGTTTATAAATTACTACTAGGACATTTTATATTAGACTATTCCAGATTGATTGTGAAACACTATTAATATTATTTAATCGGTTACTAGCAAAGTTATTACTTTATTTTCTAGGTTAGTATATCAGATTCGTTATGAAAAGTTTCTTGTTATCTTAAGTCAATTTAATATACGATAGTATAAAAATTTATATACTATCATTGCATAAAACTTAAGCTCATATATATATATATATATATATATATATATATTATATATATATATATATATATATATATATATTTTCTTGCACACATATGGTCCGGTGTAAAGCAGTGTATTTGATGGTAAAAATAATTTTGCCTTTGAAATTTCTTTTACATGAGATCCAAGGGAAAAAAAATAGAAGAAAAAAAGCTCTGTCAACTATTTTCTTTTAATTTGCTTCTAGGTCTTTGGCTCTTTGCGTAAGTCGTCGCAGTTGAGAACTTTGAGATCCACAATTTGTGATTTAGCATATTATTATCACTTTATATCTTTGGACGTAGTGAATGACATATTTGGGCAAGTTACGCGTTTGACTTATCGGTCAAAAATAATTATATTCATTAGTCAATATTCAAAAAATATATATTTAATATATATAAATTATGTGTACTATGCATACTAGATATTAATATAATATAATAATATATATATATTGCCGACTGTTATTCTTAAAAATAATTATACGGTATAGCTTTTCCGACATCTTTTTGTGATATATGGCCATGCGTAATATTCTTCGTAATATCCTGGAAATTTGCTGGCCCACTGACCACCTACTCCTAATAATTTATACGAACGCAAAATTATTGACTTTGTACGCTTTGCTTAACCAAAGTTTATTTAATACTCTCTGCGTGTGAAAGGCTTAGAAAAGTCTTTGCAAATTGAACACAACTTCTCTTTTTCTTTTTCTTCTTCAACTATCTTGTATTTAAGTTTGAAAGTGAAATGGATGATATCTCTTTATTCTTAAACATGAATCCGAATTAATTATGTCAATAAATTTCAAATACTAAATAATTATACTAAAAAAAAAGTAACTTAATTAGTCTGAACCAGTCGACCAGTAAATTCTAAGTACTAAAGTACTTATACCAGAAAACTTGACCTAATTAATTTGATCTCTACCAAAAAAATCTTTATTTTCAAAATACGAATTTGAAGTCTCTATTCAAATTAATTGAATCAGTAAATTTTGAATATCAAATAACTATATCAAAAAAATTGGTCAAGTTAATTAAATATCTATCGATTTATTATTTTATTTTAATAAGTGTACTATTCCTCTAATGCATAATTTCTCATTAAAAAAAAGTAATAAGTGTACTATCTCACCACACTTGTCGGGAAAATACAACTTTCAACTACCGCTACTTTCCAATAGGTCATTCTAGAAGGAGGAAATAAACTCTATATATACAACACACGCATGCCTTCTACTCACCATTCTCTTTCTAAAACAAAGTTTTCCCCACTATTATTTTTTCTCACTATTCTCTTTCTTTATCAATTAGCAATAACAAATTAACAATGGCAATCAAAGTTCATGGCCCTGTTATGTCACCTGCTGTAATGAGAGTCGTTGCTACCCTCAAAGAAAAGGAGCTTGATTTTGAGCTTCTTCCAGTTAATATGCAAACTGGTGATCACAAAAAAGAACCTTTTATTTCTCTCAATGTAAGTGTAAATCTTAATTATTAGCCTTGTATTTTCATATCTTTTTTATTTTAATTCAGAGACAATTACTGTCAAATTTCACTATAACAATCAATCATGTCTCTATAATAACACTTTCTCAAAGTAAATATCTTTTTTGGGACCTATCTTTCACATCATGTTATAATATATGTTCCAAACTTCTAGTGGCCTAAAAATGTCAGGAAGAAACGAGGCTGTTACATAGGTTCGACTATTGTGGGTTTAGAGTAGATCTAAGGATGGATTTAGAATTTTAAGTTCATGAGTTCTGGATACCAGAAAAGTTTGGTTATTGGTTCTGGATAATTATTTATGCATGTGAATTTTATAACACAAACACAAAAAATTTAGCCGAAGCTACGGGGTTTTGTCGAACTCATAGCTAAAAGCAGAAATATCCAATGGAAAAAGCCTGTGCAGATAACCTAAATCTGCTCTAATTAAGAGTACCTATACTTAATTTATTTTTTTTATTCATGCAGCCATTTGGTCAAGTTCCAGCTTTTGAAGATGGAGATCTCAAGCTTTTTGGTAAGTAACAATTGCACGTTTGATCCCTCAGTTTTTTATGGTTTTTAATTTTGGTCCTTTTGATATTTCATCAAGTATACTTAACTTTGAATTTAATTTAATTATATGTTATTGGTCCCTCTACGTAGAAAATATGCTATTTTTATATCATTTTCAGAACTATATATCCCTCAAATATATAGCAATAGTGCAACTTTAACATTGACAGATGAGTAATTTAGATAGTTTAGCCGATAATAATTCGTTAAATTTGTGAAGACTCACAAGTAAAAGGATCAAAAGGGTTCATATTAATTAATTGAAGGTTGAATATGTTTAACCGATATCATGAGGATCAAAAATCACAATGTATTAATATTTCAAGGACTAAAAGTGCAAATTCTTCTTTTGATAATATAGCTTTCCTTTGCCACAATAGCACTACATTATCTTCTTATATTAATTTGTCATGTTGATATACCCAACATGATTTACTTTGAAATTTCATTGATATTTCACATATGTATTTATGTTTTGCGTCGAAAATATATTGGATTCATTAGAACCCATTCAACATGATCAAACGCCTCTGAAATAGACTAATTCAAATTTGCTATCGCACAGAGCCTAGTAACGAAAAATTGCTCCACCATCTTCTTTCTTGTTTTGTCATGTTCATGATATATGAAATATTGCTAATTATTCAGAATCGAGCAATTACCCAATACAAAGCACACACATTATTTGTACTGTGTATATTGATGAGAAGAAAAAAATTATTATGTAAATTTATTAAGTTGTTGAATCCCTTGAACTCATAGAGAGTTTCTTTTATAAAAAAAAAAGAATTTGATGAAATTTCTGCATCCGCCACTACACACTAAAGAGGAAGTGATCCAATCATTTATTTCTTGACTTATATATTGATATATGAAATATTGCTAATTATGCAGAGTCAAGAGCCATTACCCAATACATAGCACACACATATGCAGACAAAGGAAACCAACTATTAGCCAATGAGCCCAAAAAAATGGCAATAATGTCAGTATGGATGGAAGTAGAATCAACAAAATTTGACCCTATTGCTTCAAAGTTAAGCTTTGAGTTAGTTGTTAAGCCAATGTTGGGAATGGTAACAGATGATGCAGCAGTTACAGAGAATGAAGAAAAATTGGGCAAAATTCTTGATGTGTATGAATCAAGACTTAAAGATTCAAAATATTTGGGTGGTGAGAGTTTTACACTTGCAGATTTGCACCATGCCCCTGTTGTGCATTATTTAATGGGGACTAAAGTTAAGAGTTTGTTTGATGCTAGACCTCATGTGAAGGATTGGTGTGCTGATATTTTGGCTAGGCCTGCTTGGTCTAAGGCACTTGAGTTGCACAAACAGTAAAACTGATTCCAGACTCGTTTGGGATTGAGGCGTAATAGTTGTTATGGCCTATGAATCACCAGGTTAATAAAATTGGAACTGATCCTAACATGTCCTTTGGGAATAAGGCGTAATAGTAGTTGTTGTTGTTGGAAAACTCTTGTTATTGTGTTTGGTTTGAGTGTTATTGTACTGTAAACGTTTCGTTTTTTGAAGAAGAAATCTCCCATTTCATCTGTTGTTTTTTGTTACAGTTATGACTGTTGAATTACATGAAATGACGACGTATTTTTTTTTAACTAGTGTTTTGTACTAAAAATGATTTTTTCTTTTAACTTGTTCGTTTTATTAAATCATTAGAGATTTATTATTTTCTTTCAATTTTAAGTTTTGTTCCATTGAGTTGTTGGCCGACTACAGATTTTGAAAAACCAAATTTCTAAATAATCTTTTCCAATTTCAACCACTCGTTTTTCTGTCAACGTCAGCAAATATTGCCCAAATCTCAAAAAGTGAAAAGCTTTATAAAATTAAAAAGTAGATAGCAGTATAGCACTGGGGGACTGAACCTTTAGAAATTAAATGTCTCATTCGTTAAATTTAAACTTACTCCCTCATTTCCACTTTAATTAACTTTTAGTAATTTTTATACATATTAAAAAATTTATCTTTTAATATTAATTAATAATAAAATTGATCATATTAATCTTTTTTATCACTTTAATTTGTTCATTAAAAATATAACAAATACTCCGAGACTCTTACCCCAAAAGACAACTTTAGTAAAAAAAAAAAAAAAAAAAAAAAAAAAAAAAAAAAAAAGTTTGATTTCTTTTTAATATCTAGAATAAAAAAATATCAAAAAATTAATTAAAGTGGAGCAAAAGAGTATAAAAATCCTAGTTGTGACTTGTTTATTCTATAGTAAAGTAGCCACTTGCTATTGTTTTAGAAAGTTACATGAATTTGTTCGCTCTCATCATTAACTCCTATTTTAGATTAGATGCATAATTTTGGTACTTATTCGTCAAAAATATAAAGGAAAGGTCTGAAATTTTGATAGAACTTGTTGAAGTCTATTACCAACCTCATATATAAAATTTAGCAAATGAAGGTAATTGTCTCAACCTTATTGAGGAAGTTAGAGATTAACATCATATCGTGTTCATTCAATTATTTTGACAAAATAAACAATTCTTAAAGAAAGAATCAATACATTATGTTGGCCCCAATCAACATTTGCACCACTCAATAACATGACATGAACCTTTCTTAGCTTACTTTTTCCCTTTATAATTTTTTTTATACACGTATTTATACTCCAATAAAATAGCCAAACAATTTCTCAATGGTCAATATTAGTAACAGCAGGTGAGAAGCTCCTGTAAAGTTTAACTAAAACATTAAATGACGCTTAACTGATGAGTAGGGGCGGCAAATGGACGCGTCGGGTCGGATATGGGTGGATCGAAAACGGGTAATGCAAAAAACGAATAAATTATCTGATCCGATCCATATTTAATGCTGATAGAAAATGGGTTAACTGGCGGATAATATGGATATTCATATTATTCAAGATTTCTTGAATATGATCGCTTTTTGGAGAATTTCTAATCTCTCAAACTTGAGCAATTCCCAATTTGAGTCTTTTCAAATGTAAAAGCTATACCCATCAATTATCCATTGGTTATCTATTTTTTAAGTGGATAGTATGAATCTTATCCATATTCGACCTATTTCTAAAAAGTTTATTATTCAATCCATTTTGCCACCACTGAAGTGTAAACTAGCAACCTAAATGGACAAATCCATTTGTAGCCAAAAAAAAAACACCAACCATCTATTTAGTGGAGTTTTGAGGACTATACTAATCCAGTTGCAAAGTAAAATTGTTTAAATATACTTCCTTAAGTGGCCAAAACAGACAATTCATGCGCATCCGGGGAATCGAACCCCGGTCAGTACCGTGGGAGGGTACTATGATACCACTACACCAGATGCGCTACTTGATTGTGATTGCGTATAAGAAAACGTATTCCAAATGTCCTCATTCTTTAGCTAGTCCAATTAATAGTAACTACTTATTCGACTTACTGGGTCCCCACTTTTGGAATTTTCATTATCAGTAACAGCAAAACAGAAAGGAAAAATATATAAGATGCACCCGTACTTGTTCAGGAAAATCAATTTCATACTAAATTTTTACGGGCGTCTTAATACCTCCCTATCCTTATTCAAACTGAATTTAATACCACTTTCACGGTATAAGTGCATTACACGCGCATGCCACATCAGCACCACGTTAGCATCATGTGTTTTTAACTTCTTCTTTTTTCTTTTTTTATTCACACATTTTTTTTGTCTTCTTCCACACCCACCACCAAACCTCCATTATCACCAATAACACCACCATCAAAAACCCAATCACCACCAATTTTACTAGTCACCACCAAATCTACACCACCGATTTCACTATCAAATTCATCATCATCAACTCCATCAACCATCATCAAACTCGTTAAATTGTATATTAAATTGACGAATTTCTGTTGCAAGTTAACGATATGCTCAAAATCGATTTCAAACGAACCCATTTACATCAAACACCACAAACCCATTATACTGTATGTCAAATTGACCAATAGATGGTGGTGGATTTCCAAATCACCACCAATTTCATAAATATATTACACTTCAAGAGATTATATATTAAACAGAATCTTTATTTCTCTTTTATCACTTCTATTAAAATGATTAATATTTTTTTCTTTTGTTGTTGCAGGTTCTTTAAGGAGAATAATATTTTGAGGTGAGTCAAAATAAAAAATAGGTAATTGAAGAAGAAATAAGTGTGCAGTGAAGACAAAGGTTAAAGGGGAAGAGACAAGGAAATCTGGATTATAGGTGTGAAAATGGAGAAGAGATAGGGCGTTAAGGAGAAGAGGGGTTTGGGGACGTGAAAGACGAAAAGGGGCAAGAAAATCTGTCTTTTGTATAAAAAAGAAAAAGAAAAATTTGTGATTTAATTTTAGTAATACACGCCCATTTTTTATTTATTTGTTATTATTTTGCCACATCAGCTTTTTGGTGGTATTAAATTCAATTTGAATAAGAATAAAAAGGTAATAGAACGCCAGTAAAGGTTGAGGGTGGAACGGATTTTCTTGCACAAGTATAGGATGCATCTTATGTATTTTCCCAAATGGAAATGTAAAGAATAAGCCAAAATCATGAAAGATTTTAAGCCTCAAAGTCCTAGATTCTACGAAGCAAAGTAGGCATCTGTTCGATTGAAAATCCAGACTATTTTATTCACAAAAGTAACGTCACCAAAGATGAACATAAAATATCATCGTTATAAAATGTTGCGACCTTTCTATACTTATTCTTTTGGTAAGTAGCAAGTACTATACTTTTTAGGCAGATTGTACCTTTGGCATCAAAGTGCCTGCATTAAGATTTGTATACCTCTGGCTATCTGTACAAGAAATACTCTTTTTCCCACTACCACAAAATGTGTAAAAAAGGAGCTTTATTTGTTTAGATTATTTTCTATACAGAGTTAATTACATCTATGGCGATATACTGTTTTCTATTCTTCCAATCCCACATTTTAAACAGACCAAACACCATTTCAGTAACTTCAGCAATTAGTACAAGCCCCACAACTCAAGCACAGAAACATAGTTCCTGACTCAAGTGGATAAAAATTATATATGTCCGCTCACGTGAAACTTTAATGCTCAATAACCCTATCTACTTTTAGAAAACCGAAAGTACAAACTTATAATAGTGCAAATATTTAGGCTAACAGATAATTGCAATTAGCACTACTTATGCACTCATGAGCTAGGCGTTGCTTCTGCTTTTCCCTCTGCAGCTTCACCTCCTACCTTACTGTTTTGTTCTTTAGGTTCTCCCTCCGCCGTCTCTGAAGGCTTTGTGACTTCTTCCTCTGATAAAAGAGAAAAGATCATATTATAAGCACAATGAAGAAGGAACTCTCAAAACTAGGATGAGCAATCCTTTTCTCTATTGCAGGACAAGGCAGGGAAAAGCAAGGCAGAGTCTTCTGGTTCTCACATTTCAACAACTTTAGGAAAAACAAATATCACCTTTAGTTACTGAATAATATACTTAATCGATGACTGTAACTCTAATATCATAATTTTTTTTCTTTTTTTTTTTGGTGGGGTTGGAGTGGTGTGTCATTACCTAAACAGGTGAACAAACAATTTGGTTTAAGGACTCTAAGCCTAGTGGAAAATAATAAGCGGTTGCATATCATTATGGCATTGTAAGATCAACCAAGTATTCCCCATTGAACTAAAGCATATCCACAAGCAAGAGGAGGACGATCATCATTATTTTCGCATAATAAAATAGTAAAGTATAGAAATTCTTATAAAATCATATCAAAGGTGGTAAAAAGATTTCTTAAAGTTATATCTTTGTGACAAATCCAATAACTTCAGGCAAGGCAGTGGTGCACTACCATCCAAAGCAAAATTGCAAGTGTAAGCATTGGCTGTCATTCTTGGTACGAGGATTATTCATGCAAAACATGAAAATTCCTGCAAGTGTTTCTACATTTTTAAACATTGATAAACTTAAAGCTACATGCTTGAATAGGTTTACAATCTAAATCCACCCACCCCACATTCTAAAAGGGGCAAGGAACAAAAATTGGAAGAAACGGGAATAGAGAAGGAAAAAAGAAACGGTGCAAATAATCTATACTTTGAGAAAGAGTTATCAGCGATTCAATGAAAAAAGCCTAAAATTTAATCACTGTGCATGAAAACATACAGAGTCTATCCATGCCAAAGAGATGCCATGAAATTGATTACCTTCATCATCACTGTCATCGAGATCATCCCCCATTGCATCATCTCCAAGTCCCATGCCACCCATGTCCCCGAATTTCTACAAATTATCAAAGTGGAATCCTCAGAAGACATCAAATTAAATGCAGAACAGCAGATTATAACTGAGCAGGTTCTTACCGAGAAATCCATCGAATTCATGTCGAAATCACCAGGAGCAGCTTAAAAAGTACGAGGCAACAACAATGTTAGATTTCTTCTTCAGTGTATGTTGCTAAGACTCTTCAATAATGTTGCCAGTGCGTGTCTTATCCTCCAAAAATAGTGCAGTTTTGGAGGACCCGACATGGGCGGCGGCATTTTTGGAGAGTTCGAGCAACATAATTAAATATGGTTGAGGAGGGATTTAGAAAAAACATGAGATAAGTTGTACCAGTGTCATTGTCATCATCTTCGTCCACCCACTTATCCCAATCTACTTTCACGTAATGTGGTGCTTTCTCATCTCCACGCAACAATTTATTCCACCATTTCTTCTCTGATTTTTCCAAAACGCAGAAGATATTTCTCACGCCAATATTCATTTTGCTCTCCTTCAATATAAAATTGCAAATTACAAAGCAATGCTAAATAATACGGGAGAACAGCATAGCAATTATACTAAGAAAACGCGCAAAACTAGTAAGTAAATCCTCCCACTTCCTACATGTTACTCTCTTAATCACAACTAAATTGTCTAAACTGTTGTTTTGGTTGGTTATATTTTTCTTTTCATTCGACTTCTATTAGTACAAATCAAATATCACTTTCCATGAGTTATCCTTTTGATCCAACTTCACCATCAAGATTACTCGAGAAACTGCCTTATCCAAAAGAAACCATTTTTTTTGAAAGTACGAGGACACTCAGTCCTTTGATCAATAAAGAGGGACATCAGGAAAACTTTACAGGCAACACGTCTCACAAATAAATCAGTCCATGAAATTGTTTTGACAAAGGAGTTCAAACAGGCAAGAAGTAAGGGTTGCTCTTTGGTAAGAGAGCTCAACCAAGACATTAGGACTCAAGTCACGCCAAGGGAGCAAAGTGGGAAAGGGCTACTGTTGACCCCTGGGGTAAGGAAATTCAGGGGGTAGGATTCGCCATATTAAAAAAAGGCACTCAATCCAGCTTTGACTATCTACAGATTACAGAACTCAAACCACGCAAATACACTTCTCTTTTTACCTCTGTTATATTGATGTGTAGGCAGGCACAGGTTTCAAGATATTTTGGATATGCGGAATACCTTTTTAACATTGCAACTAATGATCATATTTTTATGGGTGGAATTTTGCTTTGTAAAGCATCAACAGCAGGCTCTCACTTTATCTCAGATTTCAATCTACCAATCTCTTTAACCAAGAAAATAATAACAGAATGAACATCATTATGCAGTTCAGCTTATCAAGCCTCCAGACTAACTTTGATTTGCTTAATAAGTAAGCAATAAACTCATTAGCCGTTGAAATTTCTTCTGCTTCTTTGAGCTAATTTTTGCAGTTAATACTTCGTCTATCCATTTTGGTACTTTCATGGGTTGAGCACTGAAGAATGGGTGACACACAAAAAAGCCCAATCCCAACTATCTAATAGATTAGATGCAACTACGGAACTAATGGAACCTAAGTTATAAATCCTCTTTGTTGGAAATTTAGGTTCAAGAAACTAATGTACACCAGTTTCACTAGATAAACTCACACTAAACATGATTTGCTACATTTCTGTCATAAAATTATCTAAACATGCCTCATTTCAAAAAAATATCATGCATAAGTAAGGTGTCCGTAAAATTCAAACCACAGTAATATATAACATCCAGCAGCCATATCGAAAAAAATCTCTTACCTCAACGTTAATTTTATCAAAAAGCTCAAGTTTCAACTCGTATGCATGGCTTTCCGGCCCAGCTGTAGCAGAGAAGGTAAAAATTCCTTCAGGGTCCAGATTTACCTTTGAACTTTTAGCATCAGGTAATTGCACAGTGAGATACACCACATCTGATCTCTGGGCCCACTTCACTTGTGGATGGCGGCTATGAATTCATAAAGAAGAGGGGAAAAGAAGAAGCAATTTTTAGCCAATAGCTCATCCCAAAAGTGAAAAAAAATGTGAAACAAAATTGTCTGCTGTGTCAATGAATGTCCCTTCCAAGAGGTAGTGTTTAGATGCACTCAACAAGCCTATTGAGTGAACAATGATATAAATGAGCAGATACAAAAATGCAAAGGCATTTGTGCACATTATAAAATTAACAAAATATTTCCTATCGAGCAGAGGTTACAAGGAAAATAAAGATGCAGAAAAGTGGCATCACCGAAGTCATGCGAGTATTACGAGGGAACCCTTATGGGATTTTTGCATTCGTCAAAGGGATTTTTTTCCTAACATTGTATATACCAAAATAACCTTACTTAGTTTAAACTATTAAGTAATATATAATGACTTTCGAGGTGAACTTTCATATTTGTTGAATGATTTTGTGATATATTTAAATCATCTTGAAAGAATAAAGTACTTTCGAATTTTATCTTTATATTTTACTTAAATAAAAGAGTTAATACCCTAAAAACCCCTTAAACTATCACATTTTTGTCAGTTTTCTACTTAAACTATTCGGTGTCCCCAACCCCCCTCCCTCCCCTCCCCCGAACTATATTGCCGCTCGTATTAAAAAACCCTCGTCGCTGACCTGGCATAACATATGTAGATACTCGCTTGGGAGCGCGTGATAGTTGAAAAAAGCCATCAAAATGGCCCACCTAACAGAAAATAATGGCTAATTAGCCTAATCCTCTTTCAAATGTATTTTTTAAAATAAATATTCTCCTTATTTCAATTATATCCATTTTTCTTCATCATTTTTTCACCATTCTTTCTTATGTTTTCACCTTTCTTCTTCATTTTTTAACCTTTTTTCTTCCGTTCTCCATATGGGTTTCCTCTGGAAAAATTTCTCCCTCTATTGTTTCCTCTGAAATTATTTATTCTCTTTCTTGTTTTAGTCTTCTTTCATGTCTTACACACATTGTTGCAAGAATACCAATTTAAATCTTCTTATTAATCTCAACACCTTGTAAAGAATAAAGTTGAATCTCTTGAATCTTCTTTATGTAATCTGGAATTAGAGAATGTAATTGCTGGGCAATTGATTTTTTATTTGCGAAATTTTATTTTGTGTAATCTTTTTTATGTAATACAAGATGACTTTTAAGAAATACAACAATATATGCCTTTATTTATATTTTAACTGTGCTACAAAGTGAATATAAATAAGGACTTATCAATTGGAGTCTAGCATAAAGCACAATCACAATTAAACCTAAAATTAACACAGTACATTAGATATTATTTTGGCCAAAACTCCTAGAATTAATCAATCATTCGAGAGTAATACATCATGAGTAAACTATATAAAAATAATTGTATAAACCATAAGTTTATATAGTTAGACAGACGTACCTTTAAAAGTCCATACATGGGGTTTTAATATATAGGGGAATATAGTTCGGGGGGGTTTTTGGGACACCAGATAGTTTAAGTAGGTAAATGATAAAAAAGTGATAGTTTAGTCGGGTTTTAGGCTGAGTTAAATAGCCACGTGTAGTGCTAGATGGCACGTTTTTTAGACAATTAGGAGCGTGTACTAGATGCACCTCTAAGAATGCAATGATGGGGTTTTAATATGAAAGGCAATATAGTTCAGGGGGATTTTGGGGATACCGAATAGTTCAAGTAGGAAACTGACAAAAACTTGATAGTTTAGGGGGATTTTAGGGTATTAACTCTAAATAAAATAAAAATCTTGATTTTGTCCTTCATAATAAATATTGGTAAATATTTATATACTTATATAATATTAACTATTAATTAAATCCCTTTATGTCCTTACTCATATTTTGATACTTGAAAACACTTTTTGAAAAGCTTGGCCAAACACAAATTATTGCTCAAAAGTACTTTTCAAATTGATAAGCCAAACACAAACTAATTTTCTCCGACAGTACTTTTTTTGAAAGCACTTTTGGAAAAAACACTTCTCAAAAAAAAAGCTAATCTTTTCAGTTTGGCCAAGCAGGATATAAGGCAGATGGAAATAAACTTGCCAAACTCCTAATTTAATTTTTTATTATGAACGGACAAGGCAACTCTACTGACCAAGAGTTATAAAGCATATGTCAAAAAACAGTCCAAACTCCTAATATTTCATCTGTAACAGATCATTTTTGAGTATTATTCAAAATAAAAATTTACATGAATCAAAATTCTCATCAAAGAAACAAAAACACTTAATGAATTAATAATCAGACCTCCGAAGGAAATATCAATCAATTACAACTTAAATCTCAAACTAGTTAGAATATTCTAGCCCCGGTATCACCGTTATTGAAAAGGAAAAAAAAAAAAAAAAAAACTATACGAACACTCTGTATTAAATCAAATATGCATTTTGAAATGGTATAATAAAATGCAGTAAAGTACATATTACCTCATCGTTGTAGTTTAAGCGCTGAAGAAGGAGAAGTGAAAAACCTAGAAAGGCAGAAACTGTAGAGGCACAGCTGGTAGTAATTTGCAAAAGTGATGAGTACCTACCAACTGTACCAAAGTATTCTAGTTTTTTCTTAAACATCCGAGGTTTTGCTTGCGTGTGAGACTCGAATAACAGTACGATGGGCTTCGAGGTTCGGCCCAGTAGTATTTGGGCCCTTAGCAGACTGATGGATCAGTTTTCTCGTCTAGCCCAAGAGGTTTGTGTTAATAGTAGTAATGACACCAGATAGCCACTTTAAGCACCTTTATTTAAAATATATCCAATCCTTAAAAATTATTTATGTAATGAGGTTGGTGTTAATGGTATAATTCAGGCACTTCTTTGGTTTTTTATAAGGACACATTTTCATGAATTTTTATATATGTAATGAGGGCGTTTTAACATATTATTTATAGTTAGTTTAGGATTTAATGAACATCTACCGTCAATGTAATTTATTTTTAGACTATTAGTAAATTTTAACTTTAGGATTTAATGAACATCTACCGTCAATGTAATTTATTTTTAGACTATTAGTAAATTTTAACTTGTTACATTTGTGTAATGTAGGGATCTTTATACAAATAGTAGGCTCGATTTACTGTGTATTTTTCCTAGTCTGTATACATAGATTATACACTTATTATATATATACACTTATTATATATATATATATATATATATATNGTTGTTGATATACACATCAAAGTAACAGTTTCTGTCCTTTTCTGGCATCTTATTCCAGCGAATTCTATTCTCTATAATCTTTTAACTATCTAACCAGACATTGAATTGGATTCCATTACGATAAGAATAAAACAAGATTGCCAAACCTTTATCTTTCGTGTTGATCAAATAACCATTTGCTTTGCCTTTTTCATTAAATATCTTTTCAGTTTATTCAGAAGGGAAGAAAATATTATTATTATCAACAAAAAAAAAACAGAGATTTTTTTTTAATTTATTGAATTCAAGAATGACAACAACAGAGGAGAAATCAGTTATGGTTGTGGGAATAGAAGACAATCAACACAGTTTTTATGCATTGGAATGGACTTTGGATCATTTTTTTGGAACTTCACCTTCTCTTTTCAAACTTGTCATTGTTCATGCCAAGCCTTCTCCTGCTTCTGTCATCGGCCTCACTGGTCTAGGTGCGTATTGTTAAATTTCCTCCGTTCTATTTTATACGACGATGTTTGACTAGACAAAAAGAAAAATTCTCGACACGCATCAAAAATATTCTTAGAACTAGTAGTTTATAGATGTCCTGACACCTTTATGTTTATAAGAGTATGTCAAACTTGACACCTTTATGTTAAGAGCAAAGTAAAATGTTTTTTAATTGAAGAGTTTTTTTGACGATCTAGAAAGATGTCATATTTTATCAAACTAAAAGAAAGTGCCATGTAAAATGAAATGGATTGAGTATTTTTTACATGATGAAGTTTGATTGGATCGTTGGAGGCATTAATTTGACTGCTGAATTTTATGGTTGAATTATAATAAGCCAGATAATTCTGTTCTCTCTAACAACAGTTTAATCTTTTAAAATATAAAAGTTTTACGTGCTTGATCCATGTGCCCGCGTGTGAGGGACATTTGAGACATGTGATCAAAATTCAAAAGTATAATCTTTCGTGGGGCATATCTATAGCCAATAATATGGGGCACGTGAACTCATGGTCCATCCGTCAAATTAGGTATTTTATGTACGTATTTTTTAGAATTTGTCTAGTATTATGTATTGACATCCATGCTCCATAAAGGTTGAATGATGCACTTGGTTCAATACTAATTATTTCTCCTCCTTTTTTAGTGGTGCACTCATGTTCTCGAAATTCTAGATCCGCCTCTGGATCTATCTAACCGTTATTCAGATGAGATTGTCATACAATTCAATTTTACTGATAATAGAAGAAAATATTATGATGATGGTTGAAAAGTTAGTTAGATTTTGAATAAATAAAGTAATTAGTTTTGAAGTTCCGAAATTAGTACTATATGATAATTAATGTTACTACTGAAATAGTGTCAAACAGGAAAAGTTTCATATATACTAAAAAAACATAGGGAAAATATATATATATATTATTTAGACTATCTGCAGCATCTAAGTTGCTCTCATCACTGGTAGCTTCCATTAGTGTTAAATTTCTTCCTATTCTTATAGTTGTTCTCATAACCGGTGTGGCAGTATCTATGTTGGTGTTCGTCGCTTTCTAGACACCTCAGAAGAGGTTCAAAAGAGAATAGAGAGATCGAGTGGCTGATTTGGTCAAATAATAGGGTTTGGTTATTCCTCAGCTTGTTATTCATATTTGGACCGGGTTTTGATTTTGAACTGTGGAGAAGATCTGGGCCTCACTTGTGTTGGGCTGCCTTATTTACTTTGGGCTAAAATAATTAAGGCAGCCCAAAGCCAGCTGTTCTGGAAGATCAAATTTACACCCTGTAATTAACATTTTATATTCTCTGTATTTATCTGACAGTTAGTTATAGGGTAGGAATTTTTCAGTTATAGTATAGCCATTAGGAGCATGCCACTTGGCATTTCTGTTTTACCCTAGATTCCTTTTTTTCTTGTATTTATACCTTAGCCTTGTACAGCAGAAAATATACAGAAAAAGGAAAATTTCATACGTTTGTCTTCTTCATTTCCAAAATCTATTGGTCCGACCATATAGTAGTCATCATCAGCTCGGAATTTTTAAAGAACTTCTAGTGCTAGTGAGGCGGATGTAGCATAAAAGCGGCAGGGTCATCTGAATTCATACTTTTGACGCAAAGTATAAATTTATATGTATATATTCGCTAAAATTGCAACAAGTAATAGATATGAACCCATAATTTTAAAATATAATGGTTCAACGTTAAAAACTTTAAAAGTTGAACTTATTAAGATTAAATCCAGGATCCGCCTATGGTGAGGAATATTGACTAGAAATTGGGCGTCTCGTGATGTCTTGATTTCTTTTTGATGAATTGTAGGCAGTGTGGAAATCTTGCCGTCGTTAGAAACGGATTTGAAGAAGATTGCTGCAAGGGTTGTGGAGAAAGCTAAGGAGATCTGCACTGCAAAATCCGTAATTGGACTCTTCCTTCCTTTTATTTAAAGACTTTAAGTTATATATATTGTCATCATCTATCTGTTGAAAAATATATTTTTATACGTCACTTATAATCCACTAATAGTGGTTGTATTATTAATTTTTTGCAGGTGAATGATGTTATAGTTGAGGTCGAGGAAGGTGATGCCAGGAATGTCCTATGTGAAGCTGTAGAGAAGCATCATGCCTCTATTTTAGTTGTTGGTAGTCATGGTTATGGAGTTTTAAGGAGGTAAATATTCTTCATGATCTTTACACAAATAGCCTCCCGGGTTCACTATTTACTTCTTTTTGTCGGTATACATAAATTATATATTAATTATATACGGTTGGGCAGCTATTTAGGTTAATTCTTCCTATTTTCTTTTCTCTAATAAAATGAAACGAAGAACGATTTTCTCTGTTTCCTTAGGATGGATAACAATTGAACAAGGACTTAAGTTAATATACAAGGATAGTATAAAAATATTTTACCAACCAATATGTATGTCAGGCAAAGCACGAAAAATGATTGATCAAATTCGTGGATGTTACTACGACGAAACGATTAGAGCTCATGCCTTTTCCAGCATGTTATCCCATTTAAAAATTGGTGTATTATGCAGTAGCAAATATTAGTTACATATANAGAACTTAAAATCCTTGTGCAATTAATTGTGCAGGACTGTTTTGGGCAGTGTAAGTGACTACTGCGCTCATCATGCCCACTGCAGTGTTATGATTGTGAAGAAGCCAAAGCATAAATCCTAAGGTATTTCTACTTGGTATCCGATTCTATTTGAGTGAACAAGTTTTAAAGGTTACAAACATGTCATCATTTTCTCCAATTTGTGGAGGAGAACTCAGTTCACTGTGTGTATTTATCCAATTACTTGACTCTCAATTTCAATATTTAGCTATTTTAAGGTTGTAGTTGTTGTGTAACATACTGGTGGCAAAAATTCGTACTCTGTAATAATTCACAATGTTATGTATGAAATAAGAGACAGTATATGAAGCCAACTTTAATAGTGAGTGTGCTGTAACATTTAAACTCATCTAAATCTGATATTTTATAAAATAAAAAGAAAAAAAAACACTAAATGTTCTATATATTTTTTATCAGTATATAAATTTCCAATATGATTAAAAGACTCTTTAGGAACGTTGGATTAAATTGTTAGATATGAAACAACTAAGATTAAGGGAAAAATGATTTACTGCTAAATTTAAAAAAAAAAAAAAAAAAATCAATACACTTGAATACTCAAAAATAAATCTTATATTCAACATTATTTACACCATAAAGCAATTCTAGTACTATTCCACTCAGAAAGATTTGACACCTTTATCACCAAATGCCTTTACAAAACCAATACTGATATATGAATGTATTGAGAAAATATGAATGAAGGAGATCTAAAAAGGTAATGATATACAGACCGCACTTTACAAGAATAATTCAAGATCTCTGGCAATTCAGTACATATAATGCGCAAATAATCATAAGCAACGTGTTAATAATCCGTTTGCAACATGTGGCCAACATTTTCGATCACCTTTAGCTCGACAAAAGCAGAATATTCTTAACAGATACCAACTATATGAACCATCGATGTGACAAAGATATAACCAAGATACGCAAACAATTAGACATACAGTGGATCTTTTTTATTATGCAAACTGTATAGGATCCGAGTTTAATGGTAAAGGCAAAATGCAATTTGGATGACTGGAAAAGGAAACTGGATGTTATTCGTAGAAGCAACAAATCATGGTTCTTCACCTTCAGGACCTACAAATAGCATCCATTTTCCTTCTTAAGTCATCTTCCAGTTTAGGGAATACATTCCGCCTTTACCGTTAAATCCTATCCAATATAGTTTGCATAACAAAAAATATTTACTATCTCACTTTGTTGTTCGTGTACTTTGGGTGTACCTTTTTCGCATCTATGATTCACGTTATGCAGCAGACGGGATAAAAAATAGTGACATCGAGATTTACGTGGCTCAATCAATATGTTTGCTAGTAGAAGGAATAGCTTCACTATATAAAGTATATAGAGAACGAAATTAGAGATCTCGCTCTAGTTTACAAAGAAAAATCAAAAGAAAGTTTCTCACAAATTCACTCAAGAAAAAACTTTATACAAATAATGTTTCTCACACTCACTTCTCTAATAATATCTCACAACTCTCATTTCTCCCAATATTTTTCTTACAGCACTCAAGAAGAATTGATAAAAGATTGATAGAAAAATGAGAAGAAGTTGCCTCTATTTATAGGTAAATTTTCCAACATAATCAAAACATTTTCCATTTGGGTCCACTTGAAATAAATTAGTTGCCAAGTTGAAAATGGACAGTTTTCATGAGTTGACTCTAAACCAAATATGTTTTAATTTAACTCCAACCCTCCCCCCCGACCACCACCCTTGGTGCTACTATTTCTAAAGGTCTATTTTGCCCCTACATATATGCCGTTATTACTCCACTTGTCCTCTTATGTTCAAGAAAATAATGCTATTCTAAAGCCTTAGTTGAAATGCATTAGATCCTTCTAAATGTTGTGTGCTTGCCACTTTTTGCTAGTATATTTCTGCCTATTGATTAATCCTTTATTACTTTAGTTGTTCAATACATTTTGTAAATATGACAAACTCTAAGTGCTTTGCTAATAACTAAAATAATGATCTTGATGACGTCAGAGGAGTAAAGATGCACACAACTATTTCTTTTCTGTTACCTAATGTGAAAGTTTTAGGTCGTAATGTGATTGTGATTTACTACTTTCGCAAAATGAGAATTTAAGCTATCATTAATATTAGACATCAAATTATCATTACTACTAGATTTCAAAGTTTGTACAAGCATGTTTCATGTTTAGTTTGTGTTTGTTACATGACCAAATTCAACTAACCTTTGTGTAATTTTGACTTAACAAAAAGTGGAGATCCTATTTGCGGAAATAGCATGATGAGAAAAAAAGTATATTTGAAGTTATGCTTTGAAGTGTTATACATTGCGCATATATGGTTGAATAATCTTTTTAATTTAACGCTAAACAAAATACTTGAATTTACTTCTAACCACACCCATGGTACCACAATGAAGGGTAAGTATCATTCACGATACCAATTACCATTGATTGTCCCTTGCACCATACTTCATAGTTCATACTCTCTTTTTCTTTTCTTTTTCAAATGTACTCAAGACTTGTCTTAAAGGGTAAATAATAAAATTAAATGGTAAGATATGATGTCACTTAGAATAAGGAAAAGATTGATAGAGTAAATTGAATATAGTAATGACTATAATGTGTTACTAAAAATATTACCCATAAGAATATTTTAATAGATAATATGTTTGTCAATTTTTTATATTTTTACTGAAGGAATACGTTAATCTAAACATATTAGATTTAGCGCGTAAATCGTAAAAAGAGAACTTACTTGTTCTTGTAGCGGAAGCGGAAGGAACGGACGAACTACGGCCGGAATTACTAGTCGGCGGTGGTTGTCACAGTGTATTGGATCAACCCCTAAGCCACAGTCTTGTCACGACCCCAAATTCATTAGTCGTGATGGCACCTAACACAACCCGCTAGGTAAGCCAACTAGTAACTATTTAATTCCAATAATATTAATAAGACAATTAAACAAAAGGAATTATCTGAATCTTATACATTTCCCAAGGACTGGTAGTATAAATCACGAACTTCTAAGAATAGAGTTTACAAAGCTTAAATGAAGTAAATACATCATCTGTTTGAAAAAAATACATTAATAGAGTTTTATAGATCTAAGGCTACCATGAACAAGAGGCAGTTACAACCGGAACGCAGGTTCATCTTTAATTTCGGCTCCCGTCAATCACAGCACCGTCAGCAGTCAATATCTGCACGCAAGGTGCAGAAATATAGTATGAGTACAACCAACCCCATGTACTCAATAAGTAACAAACCTAACCTTAGGTTGAAAGTAGTGACGAGCTAACACAAAGGTCGGGTCCAATACCAATATTCCACAGTACAATATAGTACACGTAACAAAAGAGGTATCTCAGAAATAAAATGTTCAGTTCAGTCACAGTTCCAGAAAAATAGGCATTACTTTTCAAGTATCTCAGTGAAAACCCAAATCTTTTACCGAAAATGCCAGAATACGAGTAAGTTTGAAAACAGGAATTTTTTCCAAAACTCCTTTCAATAATAAGTAAGATGTTTCATTTTCAGATAGCATGAGAAAAGTACGTCTCTATGCCTACATGTCAAGATACAGGTAAAATCATAAAATGTCACCAAAATCGGGTAGCAGAAAGGAAATGCATCTCTATGCATGTATCTCAAGTACGCATGTCAAATGCAATGCATCTCAATGATGAGTTCATGTACTCACACTCCCAGAGTACTCAATCTCACTGTCTCGCATTCCCTCTCACTATGTTCAATGCTCAGCACACTCAATCACTCAGGTGAAATATCCACTTCTGTGACATCACAGGTCCCACCATCCGCACCTGCAAAATACCTCGCTCTTGCGCTCCATCACTTCGCACCTACGCATCCGCATATGCACCCAAATCTCTGCTTCTGCGGTCTTCCTTACCCAGCACTCACCTCGCCTCTGCGACGCCTTTGTCGCTTCTGCAGCCATCGCACCTGCGCAAAACCAGCCGCAGGTGCGATCACACCAGAACCAGCAGCCTTCAGCAATGCACTATGCAACGAAAGTGATCTGAACCTCGTCCGAAACTCATTTGAGCCACTCGGGACCCCATCCGAATATACCTAGGGGTGTTCAAAACCGAACCGAAATCGAAAACCGAACCGAAATCGAAACTTAATGGATTATTGGTATCGGGTTAACGGTTTAACGGACGGGGAACGGATTGAAATTTTTCTATTAACGGCTTATCGGTTTGGGGGCGGATTATTCAATTTTCTTAATGGATAATCCGTTAACC